ACAAGATGAGGAACGGCTCGGTGTAATATACGAACTAATCCTGCGACCTCCATTTTGATCCTGTCTTGTTTTTTGTTCCGAAATTCGCTCGTTTCGAAAGTCAAATCATCTTTTTTGAATACGAGTTATTCAGGAAGAAAATAATGATTTTTTCAATAAACCAAGTACCGTAAAGCCTGTAATAGAAGGCCCCACACTGTCAAGTTTGAACTCATTTTTTTGGCTCCTTGCAAGGTATTCAAAATGTGTCAACTGAGAAAACACTTCTAATATTATGATAAACAATTTATCAATTCACATTTTTATATCTTACCCAGACACCCTTAACCCGTTCCCTTACAATTTTGAAGTACAGGATTTGGAAATGTAAAGTTCTTCGAAATCCAGGTTTCCACAGTTTCTGTATTCGAAAATTCCGAATATCAGAAGTTCGGAACATCTAACTTTTTGTGCTTGAGAGCCACAGGAATTCCGTTTTTGAGAAGTTTAGGAATCCAGAAACTGTTAGTTTTGGGAAACCCATATAAAAATTATACCACTGATATCTATTAAATACATATTTAAAAAAGTCATGTATCTTCCAACAGTTATCCATTTTTCCAATTTTTTTGGTTCAATCCTAAATTTCTAATTTGTGCTTCTGGGTGCATCCTCTCCCAGCTCGAACACCAACTTGAATCTCCCAACATTCCCATACCCACTAATCGGTTTCTGAGACAAGTGAAACTGGGACACAAGTGCAATTTTGGAGAGAGAACTCGAGTTCATCATTTTCTGCCATTTTCATAACGAGCATTCAAAGGTTTCTTTCTTTCTCGTTTTCTCTGTTATCTCATCATCTCTAATTCCTTCTTTTTTCCTTTTCACTAACCCTCCTAATGGCTCGTTAATTTTGTGTCACCAGTCGTTGAAAATCCAATTTCGGTGAGACAAGGAGCCCCCGTGAAGAAAGCGAAACGAAGCATCTTTACTACCATTCTACCCATTCGTTTTCTTTTTTTGTTCGACAAATCTCCTCGTCATTTGTTTTTTTTTCAGAGACCTCAAAACCCATTTCGAAAATTCTGGTTGATGTCACATTAAACGGGAAAACGCAGAGATAAACGACGGCTACTGTAGAGGTCCCTCAGCTTTGGAGACGTGAGTTTTTTTTTGTTTTTGTAAAACGCTGAACCAGTACTGGTTGTGAGAAAGTAAGATTCTAGATTTTCGAGGTTAACGGGAGCTTTATTTGAACAAGTTTGGCTTAACGTTTTGGAATGAGAACCGTAAAACCTGTAATGAAGCCTCTCCCGTAATTTATAACTTTGAACCTATTTATCTCGGTTCCTATGAAAGATATGAAAAAGAGGTTACCGTAAAACCTGTATTAGAAGGGCCGGCCCTTCTATTTTTCGTGGGGTCCCTAGGGGGGCACTTCAATTAGAGGGGCCCTTCAATTAGAGGTGGCACATGTATTTTTCGTGGGGTCGCTGAGAACGGAACTTCTATTGGAGTGACATCATATTTCAGTTAAAATTTCGTTTTTCTACTCAGAATCCATTACAATTCATTCATAAAAACACAATTTTCAATATTGTCAAAATTTAAAAAACTGGCACCTGATTTTGCGGGCGCCGTTCGTGCCAAAAAATGTGAACGTGCCAATTTACGAGGTTTTAAACCCGATATTGTATCGAACGAAATCAATTTCTTTGAATTTAGTGGGATTTTCAGAAAAAAATTCAGATTTCTTGATAACATTTTCGTCGCTAAAACTTCTCGAATTTTTTCAAATTGAAAAACTCCATGCTTAATTGCGAAAATCGCTCAAACGAGACCAGAATCTGTAATAGAGCGACGGCATTCAAGTTTTCAGGTGCCAGTTTTTTTTTCAAAATTAGACAATTATTCAATCAAAACAACAGAAAAAAACGACTGAAAATCAAAGGAGATGGTCAAAGGGGCATTTCAATTAGAGCGGGTACTTCAAATAGAGGGACCCTTCAAATAGAGGGAGCACTTCTATTTTTCATGAGGTCTCTAGGGGGGCACTTCAATCAGAGGGGCCCTTCAATTTCAGGGGCTCTTCTAATACAGGTTTTACGGTAACTGATAAACAACTTCAAAAGGCTGCTCATTGTCAGTGACAAAAAAACCTCTAGAACCTGACAAACCTGTGATTACTATTTCTGAACAACGTGCACAAGTTTTGAACTTCAAAATGAGAATGCTTGGTGGCCTAACACCTGAGGTACCCGGATCTTTCTTCGGCCAAAAATCCCGCAACCGAACCGTTGAAAAATGGGAAATTGGAGCGGAATGTAAAATGGAAAACTTTGATCAGGCCATATTTTTTGGACGTTTTAATCGTTGGAAATAGTGTTAATTTTTTTTTTGAAAAGTGCTTCTAAGACGACTAATCATGAATTCTGTTTTTCTGTGCAGCATCGCGTCGTCTTTGTCGTTTTTCTTTGCCATCATTTGGGCACAAAAAGGACCTCCTTTCCCATTTCGGGTAATCAAATAATTTCTCGTTTCCTCTTTTCTTTAATTCTTTTCTTCCTTCTCTTTTTGTTCCATATGGATTCTTCTAAAGTCTACTACGATCTTTATTCCCAATATTTTAGTTTGTAAAAAAGTTCGCAACAAAAAAAGAAGGAAGAAAAAGAAGAAGCAACCCCGACCATTCGTTTCTCTCTCTCAAACGATTTGCATATCTCCCATAAAACTTTCGGTCATATTTTTGTGTCCAAACACATCGTAAAGCAATATTGTTCTATTTTTTCTAGAATTCTTCATTCACACATAATATCAGAACAGTTGTATTCTCAAATTCGCAACTCGATTCTTCTCGTCTTCTTCTTCTTCTTTCTCCTATTTTGTTTTGAGCCTAGCCTTTCCCGCACAGATACTTCTTCTTCTACTCTATCCTCTTCTTTTTTCTGTTGTCCAACTGCTTCAATTCGCCGTTGCCAATGATATTTTCTGCCTCACAGAACTTTCTCACATGGCTAAGAGCACCGGACGAATGCCGGTGGCTCATATGTTTTCTTGTCCTCTCTTGTTCACTTTTTTGGATACCTCGAGATAGTTTAAGAAGTCTTCAGATTCCCGATTTTCTTTGTTTTGTCCCCTTCTGTCCAGAATCGGGCAGAAACCAGGCGGCTAATTGGATTTGTTTTAGGTCTTTTTCCTGTCTTTTCCTGACCATGGACATTTTTCTCTTGAACCATCCGGTTTTTCGGCCTCCAGGGAAGACATAGTAAGCTGTGTCATCAGATAGCAAATCACATCAAATAATTAGTTTACAAATTTACTGACCATTGATGACAAATTGTTGTCAAAACATCCGGAACATGAAAACAAGGAGATAGAGAACGTTAGAAGGTTTCAGAAAACGAATTTTTACTGCTTTGAGGAAAAATGATTTTTCAAGCTTTTCTTTACTGGTTTCTGGTTACTGTGTTTTTTTAAAATCAAACCAGCATGTTTGCCGCGCCTCCGGCGCTTCAAACAGCTGGAAATAACCTTTTTCTTTTACTGTTCGTCGCTTCGCGACTCACTCTTATTTAAAGGTCTCGTGAATCTATAATTTATTTTCCAGCTATTCAAAATGTTCGGACAAAGTGAGAAATAAAGAGACGCAACTTCATTTATTTATTATAAGAATGATATGAATTCAACTAATTTCTAGTTTTTGAGTCTGAAAAGAACTTACCGTAAAACCTGTAATAAAAGGGCAGCTATCTTTAACTTTGAGTCAATTTATCTTGGTTCCTATCAAAGATATAAAAGTGTTTTCAACTGATGCATTGTTTATCGTAATATCACAAATATTTTATCAGTTAACACATTTTTTATATCTTTCATAGGAAACGACATAACTCAGCTTAAACTTGACAGTGTGGGGATTTTCCTTAAAGTCTCAAAAGCGAACTACCGTATTTTTTGAGCCTATTTCAAATATCATTTTCCTATTTTCTCATTTTTTGAGGATTTTTTGTCAGTTTTTCATCATTTTCATTAATTTTTAAAAAGATTTACATCGACAAAAAATCTGAAAATTGTCGAAAGATTGAGACAATAGGAACATGATATTTAAATTTGGTTTAAAAGTACGGTAGTTCGCTCATTTAGCGAGAGATTCGCTGTCAACTTTTTTTTCTCAGAAACGAAAATTTTAGACCATTTTATCTTAACAAAATGACAACTCATAGTGAGGCGAGAATCCAGCTAATTTCTCTAATTGCCTACATTTTTTAGAAAAAATGTTCGTCTCGATTTTTTGTCTGAAATTCTTCAAACTTTGGGCAAACATAACAGGCCAATCAACGTCGTCGTTGATTGTCTTTTTTTGCTTCTGAGTCTCTGACAAAAAATTGGAGAGACAGAAAAAAAAAAAGATAAACATCATAAAATGGCTCTGTGTCGCCCCGGGTGCCCGGGGAGAAAAGACCATGGAGCAGAAGCAGAGAAAAAGAGAGAAGACATGGAAAATGTAAGAAATCAGTGTTATTTTATCGAAGCCTCTGTCGGCATTTTTCGTCGGGTTGTTGTACGCCTCTCCATCTCTAATCCTTGTTCGATTCGACCTGCTCTTTTCACATCTTTTTTTCGACGGGTCCACTTGTCGTTTCCTTCCCAACTCTCGGCGACGAAAAGAAGAAGAAGAAGCAGGAAGGAGCCTGCAGGAAGGAAAAAACACACGTCGGAATAAGAGGAAGGCTTCTATTCCCGCCCCCGGTCCGTCCTTTTGGTGTTTCGAACGATAATGGGCAGACGACTTACATCAATGTCGTCGACGTCTTCATCCAGATAATCCCACAGTGTCGCCTCTCTTATTATTGTCTTTTGTGTGTCAGGTGACCTCTAGGTCATCCAGCACCGAAATTCAGACAAGAAAGAAGGCACGAACATTGAAAAGGTGTGCATGCCTTCGTCTTCTTCTACTCCTTTTGCCAAAATAACAATCGTCAAGAACCAACTTATTGTCATTTCTTCTTCAAATCGTCGTCGCCATGATGTCACTATTCTGCCTGTATTTCAATATTCATCCTATATCTGTCTTGTCCTTTTTATTATCTGCTCAAGCATTCGTTATCTATACATTCCTGCCACCAGATCAGTCTGACGTTCATCTAGCCGTTCTACTTGTGGTTCTGATGCCCATCTTCTCCATCAAACGGTTTGTTTTTTATCAGACAAAACCTCTGAATGTCAGCTGTTCTAATGAGGTCACCGAGTTTTCATCTTTGTGTGACACGTAAAGATAAAACTGATGGCTGCCCCGCAGATATCTCATTCGCTGCCAATCCAATATTATTTAATTTCATCACCAAGACCTATATTTTGAAAAAAATAGGTCAAAGCATGCCAAGCCCTTCTATTTCTGCAATTTTTAACAGGTGGGAGACAGAGGAAAATGAGAAACGTTCTATATAGCGTCAAAAATGCAATGTGTGAAACTAGTGAAAAGAGACGACGGGTGCTCATGGGGGTTAGTAGTCATGAAAATTTAAATGTTACACCTGTCACCGAAAAAGAGATTGGTTTTTGCCAGCGTTTGCCAGCCGAACTGCCCTTGTTTCGATTGCACATGTCCAGAATCCGCCCGCCTCTCGGAAGAGAAACGCGATTCTGAAACATCATTTTCTTGAAAAACCCCTAAAACCTTTAGCTCCCTGACATGTGCGGATCACGAAGGCAGTTGCGACGGTGGTGTCTAGATGTCTTTTCGATTCATTAAAATGATAATTCATGGTTTCAGGAACGAGGACGGAATGAACGGAGTGGCACGGCGGAAACAGTTCAAATTGAGACCATGGCAATCAACAGCACTTCCCGCCAGACACGACCACTACAGTTGGTGAGTATTTTGTTTTGAATTAAAAAAAAAGAGAGGTCAATTTGTGATTCGAAAAAATTGCGGCTGCAAAGCGAGAAACATGCGAGAGTTTGGCAAGAAAAAATATGAAGCCTAGATGCACCTGGGTTTAAAAAACCAGTATATTGTTGCCCAAAATTGTGTTAACATGTTTTTTTTCAATTTGAAATATTCCTCTTTTGGAATAACTTAAAACCTGTATTAGAACCCACACTGTGAAGTTTGAGCTAGTTCATTTAAATTCCTGTCAAAGTTATCAAAAATATGTCAAGTGACAAAACACTTTTGATATTATGAAAAACAAATTATTTGTTGATAACTTTTTAATATCTTTTACAAAAACCGATAAAAATTGGCTCAAAGTTAAAAATTAAGAGGCCCTTCTATTAGATGTTTTACGGTAAGTAATAGAAGAAGAAAATACCTAGTATGAAATTCTTTGCCAAAAGTTTACAATAGATGCACCAGAAAGTTTCAGTATGAATGTAACTATTCATAAAAAATGAATATGTGTCATTTAGAAAAAAATGAATCAATCAATTGACCAAATTCCCATCCATGGGATTCTTTTCACATTTTTAGCTCGATATCTTGAACATAACTCTACTTACTGGGATATCCAGTGATACGATAATTTTTAAATCCTCACAATCAGGAAAAAACGTTTTAAATAATCTCATAACTTCAAAAGTACTACCTAAACCATTTATATAAACCCTCTTATACACCGAAAATTCTGTGATAGAAGTCCCCTCTATACTTGAAATTTGAGCTCAATTATCCGGGTTCCTATGCAAGATGTCAAAAATTTTTCAACTAGATAAATGCTTATCATATTATCACCAACATTTTACTAATTGACAAATTTTCAAAATCTCGCATAGGAACCGAGATAATCGAGCTCAAAGGGATGTATAGGGTGGGCTTCTATTAGAGATTTTACAGCAAGTCCATAGTTTGCTGGTTTTTAGTACTGTACAAAAATTGATAGATGTTTCCTCTTTCTAGTATTTTTGAGTATTCCATCACAACATCACACACTCGAATAAATACTTTTGTATCACCACAAACACTGTGTGTGTACGGAACAAAAAACTTCTTTTTTTCCGCTCCACACCCAAATTGGTTAGCACAGCTTGTTTTGTTGACTCGATGACGTCTTCTTTGTTGCCCTCGTTCTTTTTTTGCCAAACGAGAAGGACTCAGAAAAAAAGATTCCGTCTGAAAGTTCTCCCCTTTCTCTTCTGCTTTCATGGGGAATCCACTTTATACCCTTCATATTTTCTCTCTTTCCCTCTCCTTTTTTTTCGGTCGATCGTTATGCCAAAATTTGCATGCGAATGGGCCCCGTCACCACGTTTTTCCCCCCATGTTGTCATTGTTATTCTTTCAGTTCGAATTCTGAATCTTCTTTTTTTCCTATTTTTTCTTTTCTCTCGTATGGTAACGTGATACGCCTCCTTCTCGTGACAGACCTGACGCCTTCATACTTCCCTATTTCGGATACTTTTATCAAATAGCCCATGTTTGGTGTTTTCCCATTTGTACCATAAAAATGTCTAATTTTTAAACTGTCTTAGTCACCAAAACTTGTATTTATTCTCAAATTTTGTCTAATCCTTTGGTCGTATATGTCTTTCAGTTGTTTGTGCGGTCTAAAAACTATGACGATCTAAAAAAGAAGAACACATTTTGACGCCATCGAAAACTTCGAGTCCAGTGCATAAATCATACGAACACTTTTATTTCGGAAAAGTAAAAACGAGAGAAAACTTCCGTTTTTTTTTCTAAATCGAGTCATCATTGAGTTTTCTGCTTCGTAAATCAGATGTTTTGTGAATTTAACTGATACATGCAACTTCTCAACGGAATTTTTAGGATGTCAATCTAGTTTAGAGTTTTTAGAATCACAATTATTAATTTTGGCTCATTTCTGAATAACATTTTTTTTTTCCATATTGAAACAAGTAACTGTTGTTCAGTATCTCACATTTATCGTAAAACCTGTAACAGTAGGGCCCTCACACTGGCAAGTTTGAGCTTAATTATCTCGGCTCCTGTAGGAGATCTCAGAAACTTGTCCACGGACAAAATATTTGTGATGTTATGATAAACAATTTATCAGTTGAAATCTTTTTGTATCTTATACAGGAATCGAGAAAAATTGGCTCAAAGTTGAAAGTTAGGGTACTCTAATTTTGCAGGTTTTAGGGTAAATAATTTCACAATAGATGCCCCAGAATGTTTCAGAATAAATGTTACTATTCATAAAAAGTGTGACATTCAGGCAAAAAATGATTCAACTGACCAAATTCCCATCCATGGGGTTCTTTTCGTTTTCAGTTTGATATAAGACGGTTAAAATTTGAAGAATTTTTTTCTCGTCTCTGAAAACGGGAATTTCTCAAATTTTATGTATAAAAAGAACAGAGTTAATAAGAAGAAAAAAATGTTTCGACAAGTTTCGTCCAGTTTCGTCTTGCCTTTTTAGAATTCAGAAATTTTCTGGAATATTTTTGTACAGAAAATTCAGAAATCTGGGGAAACTAAAATAAATACTACATGGTACAGGAAATTATCAATTCGAGCTGTTTCTACCCTTGCGAAAATAATTCTTCAAATTTCAACCGTCTTATATCTTGAACTGTATTTTGACACTACGATATCGAATAATACGATAATTTTCAAATTCTCAGGAAAAAAACTTTTCAAACAACCTGATAATTACTAGTAGTACAATAATCATGATTTTTTGTACAGTGCTAAAAATAGAAGACAGTGAGAATGGTAAAAGGGATATGTAAGCCCATTTATCCATTCTCACAGTTTTCTAGTTTTCAAGGACTTATTTAACTATCATTTTGTGCTTTCTGCAGACTCAGTTGAAAAATACGGTGGTTTGAACTGCTAACATACCTGCGACAGTTTTTATTCCGACAATTCACAATCACATCATTCAAACTCTTTCTCTCTCCCAATTTTTCCTGAAGCAGGGATTTCAAATGACGTGACTTTACTCGGACAGTGCTTGAAATGACCCTTATGTCATCTTCTTCTCATCTGGCTCGACATCAAAAAAGGGAAGGGTGTGCATGGAAAAAGAAAACTGCACATCCGGTTGTATCGTCGTCTCTTCCCCTTCATCTTTTCCCCCTATATCTCTTGGCTCTCCTCAACCCAATCGGTTGGGAAGGTTCTTCACCCACATTCTCATTTGTTGTCCTTTTTGGTTCAGTATCACATCTTCTCTTGAGTCGTGTTCTGTTCCCAACTGACAACCATCGTTTCTTCTTTTTCTTTTTCTCCTTTTTTGGGATTCCTCTGTGATTCGAGAAGGCGTTTTGGCTCCTAAATGTTGTCTTCTGGAGTCTCCTGAAGGTGTCGTCAGCAACAAAAAAAGAAAAAGTTGAAATAGAAAACGAAGTATCAAGAGCAATTTTTACACCCCTTGATTCTTCTTCCTATCTGACGACTAATCATTCATTCCCTTTTCTTTCCCTATTGCATCTTCCCTCTTCAGTTTCGGGCTCCTCGTCTTCGTTTTTTTTTGCTGATTTCTCCACTTTCTTGTCGTGGCTTAGTTTCTCCAGCATCTTCTTCTTCTTCTTCTTCTTTCTTCTCGGTTTCCATCCGAAGTCGTCTTCTTTTTTCGTTAGCTTGTTCCTCATCAATTTAGCTCTACAAGACACTGTCAACTCAATTTTTTTTCAGTTTTTTCCGAGTTTTCTAATTGATCCCTCCAATTTTCATTCAATTCCCAACAACACATCAGCCGGGTCATAAAATCGTAAACTCCTGTCCCTTCCATCCAGCTTCTTCGTCTTTTTTCAAAGTATGTTTTTGTTCCAAGACCCATCTATTCTGACCCAAATCGATCAGCTCAACGAGGTCTTTTTCATTTCTGAAACTCGATAGGTCCCCTTTTCTTCTTCTTCTTCTTCTCTATTTTGTCCCCCGCCAACGTTACAAAAGGACCTTCTGGGCGCCAGTCTCTTTTTTATTATTTATTTATAAGACTCTTTTCCGTCTATTTTCCTTCCTCAATCTATTGACACGTTTTTTGAAGTTTCCGAAGTTCCCCCAGCTGTGCAAAATTCATCCGAAATTTGTTGTCATGTCTATCAGATGCTCTTTTTCTAACATACAAAAAGTACATTTCTCCCTACTCTAGAAATATAAAGGAGATTTCTGAATTCCAAAAGTCACATTTATATTTCTATTTTTATATCTTCCAAGACAAATCGTAAGAGAAAATCATATCAGTTGGTAGTAGTTATTATCAATTGTCTTCCACTCCGAACTCTTTCGTCTTTTTAAAATATTCGGATTCTGAAGCGACCAAAAGTTGGTCAACGACAATTCTATAGAAGCAGAAACTGATTCTGGAATTATTAATTTCTGGCACCTTCATTTTCATTTCTCTACAATTTTCTTTATGCTTTTTTCTATTGATTCTTCGAAAAAACGAAAATGTTCCTTGCCAATTATTTTCTGAGAATACCAGGTGTTCTAGTTAATGTACTTTCTAGTAAGCATACACGGAAGTTTTCAGTCTAGAATCTTGTCAGAATAATTAAAAAACAGCTCGAGTTTTCTTTAGAAATACTATGATGATGTAGTTCACATTTATGGGAATTGGGTTTCAAACTTTTGAGAGCTTGAAAAACGATAAACAGAGCAATAAAACATCAGTTTTTGGAAACTTTTAGTCTATAATATCCTGTATAAATCTTCTGAATAAAGTCGCTGTCAAAAAAATAATTGTTCTTTTTTGTACACTAACCGTTTATATTAATTAAAATAACTCTGAAACTCGATTTTAATAATCAAAATCTATCTTATAGGGGGAATCCGGTCAGAAATTTTTATTACACCGAAATGTTTTCAATGTTTTCTATTTTCCTGATATTATTACAAAATTTTTCATAATCCAAAATACCCGAAAAACTCGGTTGAAAATTTAAAGAATGGTGGTGAATAGGGATGAGGATTTGCGTTTCAGCGCAATAATAAACCTAGGCCACGGCCGCTGGACGCCTTTTTTACAAGGCAAAATTTCGGGATTTTTTCCGGTTTTATCACCGCCACGGAAAAACATAAAAAGCCACACATTTAAAAAAGCGTCCCGCCGCCGTGGCCTAGGTTTCTCGTTGCGAGGGAACTCGTCCCTCTTCGGAACCCTCTTTATATTTTCGACGGCGGTTTTCCAGGATTTTTTTTTGGATTTTTTCGTAATAATATAATGCACACCAATTGGAAACATTTCGGTGCAATGGAAATTTTAAAAGGACGTTCTCACAAGCAGCGATTTCTGGCAGCAAATAATTCGAACTAATATCAACAGAAATTGTACTTGTTGAAAAAATATTTTTCTCCAGAAAAAATTTTTGATTCATCGGAATTAACCGAAACGGAAAAAAACAGTATTCATAACAAATTCACACCGGTCTTGGAAATTGAAAACTTTAGAAGTTACAGTCATTGTTAATTAAGACTTAATTTGAGTTTAGCGGAGCTTTAATTTTGAAAAAATAAATAAATGCTATAGGAATTCCTTTTTAATGTTAGACAAATAGGACCGCGGTTCTATTGCTGATAGTGAAACTACTTTCGAATTTTGCCATTTTGAAACAGCTTGAACGTTGGATTGACCATAGCAGTTTGTTTTTCAATTAATTCAAAGCCGCTTACCCATAATTGTGTTTATCTATTTCACGAAAAGCAATTAGCTAGATTGTTTCCAAAAAAAACTAATTGAAGAAACATGACCGGCCTCTCTTTTGGAATGTCAGTCTCTCACTGATCTTTGCTAGTGTATGCGTATTATTGGCTCTTGCAGTACATATGAAACAGAAATGTTAGAATTCAAAACAATAAACTTCAGCTGAGAATGAATGAATTATAAATTCCGAGGTCACTTCTACTGACTGCTGGTTCTCTTGCTCGGTTTTCTTTTTCTTTTTTCCTCTTACTCATGGACCTTTTATGAAACAAGGGCAGTTTTTGGAGGAAGTGAATAGGGGAGACTACTGGTGGCAAAGTACCTTTTGGGACCAAGAGAGGAAAGCACTCGTTTTCTCTGCACCAACTATTTAACGTCCAACTCATTTCCACCTCGCATATGTGCTCTCTTTTATCCCATTTTTTGGAGAAGGCTCTTTGGTTTTCTAGAAGAATACGCAAGAGAGCTCTCGAATGATCCGAAATGAATCATTTGATTGACCCTTTACCATTATTGCCTTTTTGAGTATCCCCTTACCGTCTTCTCATCCTCTCCAAGACCCTCTTTTCCGTTTCCGTCAGTGTGCCAAGAGGCTGCAATTAATGCGCCTTCTGCTTTTCAACGCCTTCCTTCTCGTGATCTTCATTCAGTATCTCTTTTCTCCAGACATTCTAGAATTCATTCTAGACATTCTAGAATCCCACCCAAAGACGCCCTAGACAGTTACGTTTTGTATGTCACTTTGTGATGATAACAAAACTTGTTCTGTTTTCAATCACTTCCTGTGAAAATGTTCGTTTCGTTGGCCAATTCTTTTCAATTTTTATAGGTGCCATCCAAAATGTTAAAATTATTTTTAATTATTTTCTCTTTAATTATTTTCTCAAAAACCCTTCGTAATATTTTTCATTTCAATATTCCCTCTTGTTCAAATGGTATACTCCCCGAGTCCCAAATCGTTCGAATAGCATTTGGCTGTCCGAAAAAAACAGATACGATTTTTGTTTTTGTATTCGGCTCCATTTTGTATTCTTCATGATATTTACAAATTTAGTCTGGCGTTGAATTCCCAAATGATGGACTACGGGGGTACGGTAGCTGGTCTCACTACGAATTCTTTGTTTTTTGTCTCCGCTTCTTGTGATGAGTGAAATGAGGAGACAGCAGGTGGAGCTTGATGGATAAAATGATGGATGATACTCTCTCATTTTCTGAACAACGACTTCAAAACCACATCTAGGTTGAACATTACGACCATTTAAAAATTTGAACTTTTTTTAAATACAGGATCTTTCGAATCTCAAAACTGGTACCGTATCCATAATCAATCCCAGTTGTTTTCTTTGTTGTCTTTTCTTAATTTGTAGCTTCTTTTTCTTCTTCTTTCACATCTTCTCGTTCTTCTTTCCGATTCTACAAATCACCTTCTAACAGAAAGTAGATCCCTCATCCACCTCCACCAGTTACATTCGAAATCATCTCGATCTGACCGTCTGTGCTGCCGGCCTCCTTCCGTTTCCAAACTGCCGACCACTGCTTACGATTCAACTCGCGGCGTCTCGTTCCAGATTCACGACGACGATATGACGTCCAGAAGACACACCGTGTGGTTCGTGCCAGGATCCAGGAGGTAAGCTTTCTAAAATAGCAGTAGTATGTAGTATTGGCTTGCATGAGTCTGAAAACGTAAGGATGTTCCGAGATATACAAAAAAGAAGAAGAGCACAACGAAAAAGAGCATTTCAAGCTAGATTTATGGGTTTTTTTTGGTAGAAAGTTTCTATGGAAATGGGCTACTCTTCTCTCTTCTCCAGTTCTCTTTTTTTTCATTCGTCTGCTTTTTCCTTCTCCTCTACTACCATCTTCTAAATTTCCTTTTAATTCCTGTTTAAAAACCTCTGTTTTCTCTTTTTTTTTTGATAATTTCTAGTAATCACTATGATAGTGCAACTGACTAGCGCAGTTGTAGACGTTTAAATACAAAGAATGACTTGTTAATGAGGATGTCTTTGACATGAAAAGCTTTGGGTCGATAGAGTGTGAGAGAAAAGAAGGGGAGAGGCAAATAAACGAGTAAATATAAACAAAATAAGATTCCAGAGCATTTCTGAAGAGATTTTCTTTGCGTATGTCTTCAATGTGCGAGTGTGTTTGAGTGATTGTGTAAAAACGGGCAATTGAAAAATGTGGTAAGGAGAAGAAGAAGAAGAGAAAAAAGATGAGGGGTTTTGTGTGTGTGTGTGTGAGTGTGTGTCAGAAGGTTGTCCAAAAGATGAGAGGACCACTGATGAGAGACGCAGTGATATGCAACAAAAATGGGGAGAGATAGGGACCCGTTTAGTTTGCGGAGAGGGCGTGGCGCACGCGTGCCGATGCGGACAAGACGATTCAGAAAAAAATGCAGCGAGAAGCAAAGAGAATCAGAGAGCCCGAGAAGAGAGAATGATGGCTCGACGCGAGTGCGAGCACGACGGCGAAGAAGACGAGTTGGGGAAGCAAGGCAGGCAGTAGAAGAAGCAGCGGAGCAGAGCACAGAGTCGCGGGTTGTCGTGTCCTGCCCAGGGGCCACTCTGCTCTGCTCTTGTTGTCGTTCGTCATATCAAATGCCACGAAGACGCGGCTCGTCGTCGTCGTCGTCGGCGGCAGGTGGTAGTGGCGGAGGTGGAGGTAGTGGCGGAGGCTTCGGATTAGCCAGTCTCCGTCGCGAACTCCACCTGCACAACTTTTTTCGCACCTCTTCGCCGTCGGCCTCGTCGACGTCGCGGACGCCAGCGTTGCCGCCGCGCTCATCAGCGTCTATTACTATTCCTGGCGGTAATCACAAATTGACCTCTTCCGCTTCATCCTATCATCCGCCCCGCGAGCTTACCGTGTCGACGTTCAGCGCCGGCTCGGCAACTGCAGCTGATGGACTTGGAGGTGCCCATCTGACACCGTCACTATCATCATCGGTACACGCAAGACGAGAATCATTCCTCTACCGTGCCAGCGATGATCTTCGAGAAGCATCATCGTTACGGCCTGTCAGTCGAGCGTCATCAATCGCGTCTAATGAGCACGGGTAAGTTTTTTGAAAAATTCTTTTTCGAATTTATCCTGAAAAAGCTTGCTACTTTGTTCTCTTTTAATGCTAAACTATATACTATGATCCATAAGCTTTGATTCTCTGATTCCAAATATCAATTCTTTGTTAATAACTTTCCATGAATTAATTTTAAAATGCATGATAACCAATATCTTATGATTTGTATAGTGTTCTTTTTTAATTTTCATTTCGCTTAATCATCTTCTAGTTTATTTTGTCTCCGTTCCTAATTTTTAATTTCTTGTTCATTTCTCATTTCCATCTACTTTTTGATTTAATCTCTCCGGAAGGAAGTCCTTGAAGCGTGTGCACCAACGAACTTTGATCTTTTTCGTCTCTTTTTTCTAATTCGGATGATCTTTTCTGTCTCTTTTTTTCAACCAATCATCATCACCATCATATCAAAGAATTCCTATTTGTATTCTCATCCATACAACATTTCCATTCAATTTCAACAAAATTTAAATATGACCTTTAGTGTCCTCTATTCTATAGAATTTCTCTCCTAGAATTGCACAAATTGAACATAGTTCTGGTGTTGACACTGGATATATTTTTCGTCTATGGGAGCTAAACCACTGGCACCGACACTTGTTCTCTCTGGAATTGTCTTCTTCTTCGAGGTGTCTTGTGTTTTTTGGATTTCTGTGATCCTCGGAGTTCTTACTGAAAAAGAAAAATAGGATTCCTACTCCTTCTCCTTCCTCTGCTCATCCTTGTCCCTTCTGCTCTTCTTTTTCCAAATTATCGTTGTTTTCATTCGAAAGAGGACATCCCAAATGAATCAAGGAATGAATTACAAAGTGTTGAAGAATTGAGATAGAAGAAAAAGAGAAAGAAGAAGAAGAAGAAAAGAAAGAAATAGAAGAAGTGTTAGTTGTGACGAAGATGGTGTTGTGTGTCTTCTAGAGTGTGTGAAGCAAGTAGAAGACGACGAGGAGAGCGCATGTTTGAGGTGTGACCGATATGAGCCCCCTGAGGGTGGCGCGAGTAGAAAGACTCCAGATGCCAGGGTGTTGTGCGCGAAGGGGCACACAAAACAACTGTGGGTTGTTACTTTTTGCAAAATCGCATTTGGGGCTTTAAAGACAACAACGTCAACGTCGAAAATTGTGAGAAGAAGAAGAAGATGAAGAAGTCGTCTATTTTATCGTTATCAAAATCACGCAAGATCCACAAGTTGCAATTGCAATTGTCTACGTCACACCGGGTACCAGAAAGTGTGTAATAATTCCCCGTCGGTGCTCTCCCGACTGATGCTATTTTCTCACAGGCGCCGGCAACGCCATGGGGCCCCATAAATGTTGCGATGACCGATGTCACGAGCGAAAGAGAAAAGAGTTTGGGGACAGAAAGTGGTGGAGGCTTGAAGAGAGAAAAGAAGAAAGATGGCTTCATCTTCTTCTTTTTCTCCGGTTGGGTTGGCTCGGGACCCCGGTTGCCACCTCGAATTTTCATCAAATCTATCGAAACGGCCGGGGAGCAATAATAAAAGAGTCGATTCACACAGAAGCACTTCAGTGGGTGCATGTCAAACCGCTCAACGTCTTCTGAAGCATCATCATCTTCATCTCATCGTCGCCTTTTGTCATTTTCCTGTCATCCACCTCTTCATCGGAGCTGTCGTCGTTTTGTGAAAAAGAAGAAGTGTGAAGGCTGAATGGAAACCAAGTTAGAAAAGAAGAAGACGGGATCATCTGTTTTTTGTTGCTTTTTTTCTCGTTTGAACACAATTAGGACGAGCTTCTTGGGATGTTGACGGTGGTTAAAAAAGCAAAAGACCCCGGGTGTGGCAGTTGTTGGAGTCCCCGGAACCATGGGCTCAAAACATTTATCTGGTGATTTCTGCGCCTCTTATGAATTCTCATATTTTCGCTTGCTCCCGGACTTCCTAAGCCCCCTATACCAGAAGCTATGATCGAGGAGAGAAATCTGAAAAAAAAACAACGGAGTTAAAAAAATCAGAAGTGTTGGAAAATAAGCCGTAAAAACTGTAATAGAAGAGCCTCTTTAATAGGAGGGCCCTCCGAGAGGGGCTTGGAAAAATAGAAAGGCCCCCTTTAATAGAAGGGTCCCTCTAATTAAAGGGTCCCTGTGATAATAGGGTCCTTTGGAGGTACCTTGGAAGTTCCACAGTTGAACTTGGAACAATAGAAGGTCCGGACCATCTAATACATGTTTTACGGTATCTCTGTTACTGTTAAAGATATACAAAAGCTGTTAACTAACTAATTGTTTATCATAATATCACAAACATGTTATCAGTTGACACATTTTTTATATCTTGCATATGAACCAAGAGAAATTAGCTCAAACTTGGCCCTTCAATTACAGGTTTTACGGTATTCTAGAAATGTGGAAATATGATTCATTCTTAGGTCACAATTTGCTGATGATGATGGTTTCAGTGGAGGGTGTGCTCTTCGTAATTATCACTCTTTTGCATTTTGTTGTGTGACGTAACTAGGTCGCCGCGCTCAACACCAATGATTTGACATACCTCGAATGTTCTGATAAGTACAAAAATCGTTCTTCCGGATTCTAGAACTTTGAGATTATTTGAGTAACAGCTCTCAGTTGAGATAGCAGTGTATATTTGACATTCCAAAAACATATATCTTCATCTGAATAGGAAGTAACTAAACGATCTGTAAGAGGTATTCACGTGAATCAGGAGTATTTCCTGACAATCGGTTAGTGATGCACAGTGCACCTAAACAATTTCCGACCGCCTGAAACCGAGGTTTCTTTTGTCTATGCACTGGCGTTTGTCATTGCTTATCAGAGACGAAACTCACTTCTCACACATCGAGCTGCAACACTTTGCCTGTGTGATCGACCATTTAGTGTTGGCTCACGATGGTCGTGGTAATGCCATGTTGCTCTCCAACTCAACTCAATCCTCCTAAATCTGTTTTTCTTATTAATTTGGATGACGAATCCAGACAGTTCATGGTGTGAGTTTTCCTAGCTCTGCATATTTGTTTGAGTTTTTTTGATTCTACTTCTTCGCATTTAGGATTTATTGCAACAAATCAAAACTTTCAAACCAGTGAAAGGTCCCACAACGACAACTACAGTAACCCAACAAATGTTTTATTTTCTGGATTTTTTTCTTACGGTTTCAATCATTTTTTTCAGTCATAAATATTTATTTTCAATTTTTTTTGGAAAAAATAACGGAAAAATCAACGACAAAAAAAAACAGAAAATCAAAATACATTTAGGTTACGGAAATTGTCGTTGTGGGACCTTTTGCCGCTGCCACCGGCGTTTCTCTTCCACAGATCCACTTATTTGTACCAGGAAAATATACCGTAAAACCTCTAATAGAAGGGCCCCACACACTGCTAAATTAGAAATCAGTCATCTCGGCTCCTATAAGAGATATCAAAAATGGGTCAACTGATAAAATATTTCTGGGATTATTATTAAAAATTTATCAGTTGACAACTTTTTTGTATCTTTGACAACAACCGAGATAAATTGGCTCAAACTTGAAAGTTAATGGGCCCTTCTATTACAGGTTTTACGGTAAGTATGTGAATTATTTTAAGATTTTCAGTTGTTAGGCAAAAACTGTGACATGAAGAGGATTGTCAAGAATTTGTTCCAAACCTTTGAATCCCAAAAATCTTTTTTTTTTCAAAAAAGTTTGAATAATTTGAATGAGAAATTTAAATTAGAGTTTTTGTTTATTTTTCGCTTTTTTAAAGTTCTGGATTTTAATTGGAACCTTGATTTTTGTCTCCAATAATCTACAGCTTCCGGTTTCCTCATTTTTATTCCAGATAATTTCTTCAAGATTCTGACATACATAAGTATCAATGTCTTTGCAAAGTTCAGTTTTTTGTTATTACCGTAAAAC